TTTTCGTGAAATTTTTCTAATTTATGAGAAAAAAGCAGTGTACATGGATATAGTGAAGAGTGTGCGCAATGCCATTTTTGTGCAATTCTGGGATGTTTTTTTTAAGTAAAAATAAGTCGGCGTGTACATGGTTTAGTGATATTTTAATTAAATGATAGTTATTTTGTGAATTTTATGTTTGTAGGAATTTGGTATACGTTTAAGTTGAAGTAAACGTGCATGGAAATAATTTAAATATTTGATACTAAGTATTTGTAATGCTTGCGGTATGAATTCGTTGGTGACGTGTATAATGTAATAGATGATTTAGAGGTAAAAGTTTTTGGATATTTTATTTATTTTATATGTGGAAATGTTCATATTTGGAAAGGGTAAATACTTTTTCGCGATCAGGTAATTTCATATATGTTCTTTTTACCGGGTTTAAAGATTGAGAAAATTGTCATGTATTTTCGTGAAATTTTTCTAATTTATGAGAAAAAAGCAGTGTACATGGATATAGTGAAGAGTGTGCGCAATGCCATTTTTGTGCAATTCTGGGATGTTTTTTTAAGTAAAAATAAGTCGGCGTGTACATGGTTTATGTGTATGTGTTATTTTGAAAAACGCGTAAGGAGTATGGTATTGTGCACTTTTTCCCAATTTTGCAGTGAATATTTGTCATGATTAAGCAGTTTTGTTTTGATAAAATTTCTAGCATAAGTGTAATTCGGCAAGTAGATTGTTGGAAGAAGTGTTCAGTAGGTAAAAAGAAAAGAAACATGTCTTTACTTCGTGAAGACAAAATGGCGGCGGGGAAAAAAAAAAAATAGAGGGTTGCTGTAGGAGAGTTGGTTGCCAAATTTTCACCAAAAAATCGCCAAGTTACCATAATGTAAAGATCAACCCAATTCTTTGACTTGTTATTTTGTCTTGGTGTAGTGGGCATTTTTTGAGCAAAAATCACAGCTACACAAAGCCAAAATAATAACTCAGAATTGCACAAACTCGGTATCTATGTACTGCCAAAAATCGCCAATATTCACCAAGGGGCACCCGTAAATATATTTTAACCCATTTGGTTACAAAATAAGACTATATTGAATTATTGCCACCTCAGCTGAAATAATTTTGTAACCAATTACAATAGAGTACTACAATTCCTGCAAACTCAACATAATGACATGACATTCCATCTGCACATACATAAATAGTAATTCTATGTACTGCATGTAATATTTGCTCTGTTTGCCCTATCTTAAAAAAGTTATCGAGTTACGCAGAATATCGAGATATCAGGAGTTGTGTTTGTGAGACTCTAATGTACTTTTTAGTTATGGCCGAGAAAACTGCTGTATAGACTGGAAATTGCAGTGTAGTGGATGGAATTTTAGAAGACTCACGACCAGCAACCTTAAACATTTATTTTTGGAAGACGGATTTCTTAGCACATATCTTTTCTTTGATAGAACACTAAAGGTGCTAAACGTATCCCTCAATTTTAGATACATCTTAAATAATGCAGAATAGCTAACAGAGGCTATCTCTATTGTTATGTCACATAATGGATCTGTGCCATCTTCTAACTCTCAAATAATCTTTAAAATTATTACACACTCCCATATAAGTAGTCACAATTTATGTTCTGAAAAAACTGAAATCATCAGTACAATAAATATTGTCATAAACAAAATGGAACTGAAAATAAAAGTGTTTCAGAAAGCATAAATAAAATTGGGCATTTAAAAAAATTTCAGTCCATTTAAAAGTAATATTACAGGGAAAAAAAAATCTTAAAAACAGACCACTGACTATAATATTTTACTTCTCAAAGTATAACAGTACATAACATTCTTTAATATTTTATATGTTAATTTTTCTGTCATTCCACAGGCTGTCAGTACTGGAAAACTTCAAAAAGATAAATTGTATTTCTATATTATAAATACTGACTTTTTGGAACTACTCTGATATGCACCCTCAAGTCGCCAAACTTCTCGCCAAATATTTTTGGCGAGAAACTTCACGCTGCCATATTACTATCTAAATTTTTTGTCTACATTTTGAACTTTTAGCCTAAAATGTCTGCAAAAACTATGTTTTGAACACACAATTTAGCTAAAAATCCGAAACAAAAACAAAAAATTTAGATAGCAAAAACGTAAAGTTTCTAACCAAAAATATTTGACAAGAATCCAAAAAAACATCTACGAATTGCACAATGTAGGCAAATGAACGAAATCTACAACTACGCACACCTCGCTTTAATAAATTAACATAACAGCAATAAATTTCAAAGAATACCATGTACACAGCATCCTGTTTAAACTTAAAAAAAATTCTACGAATTGCACAATTTAGGCAAGGAAGGAATCTACGCACTCCTCGCTTTAATAAAATAACATAACAATAAATTTCAAATAATACCATGTACACAGAGTTCTGCTTCAACTTTAAAAAACATCTACGAATTGTACAGTCTAGACACTAAACAAAATAAACTAAAATAAATTTCAAACAATTTAAAAAAACAACAATAACGACAGTAATTCATACTAAAGAACCAATGAACATAACATTCTATAAAATAAGAACAAGGATAAAATAAAATGCACTTACCATGAATTAATGCGTTTTCAAATAGCAGAAATATAAATTTCATACCGCCTTTAACATGCCGCCACGTAATCACTATCGTATTTACATGACAGCCAGACACACTATCCAGAAAATTTATACTATGGTTCACAAATAAATAAAATCACAAATCCCTACTTCTATCATGCACTGCCATTAAAAATCTCCCAGACCCTCTTTCCACACTTCCAAATACCCACTACCCCTCAACAGGATAGCCACAATCATATTTCCTTTTGCTGAACTTCAATTCAACAACTACCATTTTATCTTTCCCTCCCATCTTCTCAGACACAGAGGTGAACCAATGAGCTCCAGCAAAAGATTTTTCAACGTCAACAGAGTTGCCATAGAACACGCAATCGTGCCAAAAACCAGCGCAGAACACATATCGCCACATTTGGTGAAATTAGGGCGTATATTAGAGTTGTACCGACTTTTTAAATTCTGCAACAATTATGGTTAGTCTATATTTTAGGGTACCCCTTGGATTATCTTCAAAATGTTTCATTTATGGTAACCTGAGTAGTTGAATGTTATGGAAACCCTGTTATGATGTTTATGTTTGATTTAAAATGCAGTTTACTGAGATTATATATTTTTGTTTTAATTATGTTTTGGATGCCATTTTACTGGGGAAGTCCATTGGACATAAACAGGAATGATTTCAAAAAATCACCCATTTTCTCCAAGGAATACCCTGAAATGTATTTTTACCCAATTAAATAATGTATCTTTTATGAAACTTCTGCTGCTTACATAACTCACTGCAGAGTGAAATGACTGAAAATATTTGTTCATACTGAATTTGTATTTAAAATTTATCAAATTTCTCATATTATAGAATTTTTATTAGAATTGCTATAATTTAAACAGTGACTTAAAACCTATTTTTAAGTACCTTTTGATAATATACTACAGATACTTTTGATTATAGAATCCTTGGTGAAAAATGATTCTAAATACTTAATAATTTTACTGCATTTTAAGTACTAGGCTCTGTTTACCAACATTTAAAATAATATTATATAAGCCACTAAAATATGCATTTTTTAAATAAAAATTAGACTGTAGAGGGTTTAATCCTAGTATCCGTTGCACACGGGATTTGGCTGCTTTTGGCGACTTTTATGATGAGCAGTAAAAACGGGACATATACGATAAGTAGTAAACGGGTATTCAAAGAATATATATAGTTATACATAGTATATATTATGTATATAGTGTATTATCACTATATATACATAGACGTTCTTTTGGTAATTTTCGGTGTTAGCGATAATTTTTAAAATCGCGCCAAGGCTGCACCGTATACTAGGATTTTACCCTGTAGAGTTACATTTTATCCTCATATATTTACAAACAATAATTTTATAGCTGTCCAAAATTTATTTTGTTCTTACATACTGTTAAAATATTTCCAGAGGCTTTATACTAGGTACATTGATAAAAATTAAACAAATTTAGACTTTCATTCTTTAATATCTACACACTAGTTATACAGATTATCAAAAGAAATATAAATTTCAAAAATTGATAATTCAGAAGTTGACAAATATATGATAGGTATGTGTCTATAAATACAGAAATGAAAAAAGTGCTAAATCATGCAAAAAGTGACAAGTTAAACATGACAAGAATTCTTAGTATGTTACAGAAATGAAATTGTTTTAAATTATAAATTTATGATGAGTTTACTGTTTAAGAAGGTCATAAAAAATTTATTAGTGTTTTCCATAATGAATTTGAATGAAAACCGAGACATACCATAACGCACGCCATAAGTATAGAATTAAATTTGCTGTAATTATTTTGAAGTTCATTCTAGAATTAATACCTTAAAATTTACATTCATTCATAATGTTACGTCATTAAACAGGATATAAGAATTTCGATTTCGTTAAGAAAAAAAGATGGAAACACCTATTCTTTTACATTTAAAATAAAGTGATATCCACTATTTTTTATTTTTTTCTTGAAACAGTAATTTCCATTTCAGAAACAGTTCGAAGAATTTTGATTTTTTGTTTTTTAAGCGAATAGACATTAATGTGAGAATGATAAAGTCATAAAATAAACGTAACATGAATAAGAGTATATATACACATGAAAAATATTTCGTTGAAGTTTTTTATTAGATATATATGACATGAAAACGTTATTAAATGAAGATTACACCTTGTAACATTATAAAATTTCAATGGAAAAAGTTCGTTGGTAAAGTACGATTTGGAATTCTGTTTATGAACTGAGGTTAAGTATGATGCAATTTTGTTATCTGTGATAAAATTAGTTTAGTATTCACAGCTAATTAAGATAATATTAATATACAAACAATTTATTTATATACTAAAATAATATATAGCAGGCTGGCAAAGGCTTACTTTGATACAAGTTTTTCATAAAACTAACAGAAAATACTTTTATTAGCTAGAGATTCTTGAGTTAGACTTAACTGGTGATAGTCATCATTTGAAAGAAAATGCCCCTATCTTATCTTAAAAATAGCTTAGTAATCGGAAATTTAATACTACTCATCCGAACGAGCGCGCTATTTACACAACCGTTAAACAAATTTCGCGGCTTTTGCTGCCAACAACTGGTGCCACATCATCAATAAAAAAGCATATCTGTATCAATATGATCCTATAACATTATAAACCATTACCGAATAAAATAAAGTTATTAAAATTATTCTTATAACTATTACTATCGGTTGAGAAGAACAAATAAATAATATATAAATTATTTCCTTTAATATTGGAATCCTTTATTATAAAAAATCGAATCCCTCAATACTTAAATTAATTAATTGCAATAATTTTTATTTTAGCCTTTATAGTTAAACTTCCTGTCACATCATCTAACAACACACTAAATTCAAGGTCACTCGGGTTCTCTTCTTCAAAAAATTTTAAGATTTATTTATCTGGTTGTATGATAGTTATGTAGTCTTCTTTAAGGTTAAAATATTTTTGAAACATTCTTTAAAGTTAATACTTGTTAGTTGTTTCTTTTGCTTAGAATAAATGTTTTAGTCATGTATTGAGTAAAATATTAATTTAAATTACAGTACTGAGTGAGGTATTTATTTGCATTAAAGTATTGAGTGAGATATTTATTCACTCTATTACAGAATTATCTAAAAATAGCTATAAAATATAAAATACCTAAAAGTGTTTTAATTGAAATATATTAGAATGCGCAAATTTTTAAATTTTAGAAGGAAAAGGTAATTTTTCCAAGAAACATGAAAGCCTAAAACAACTTTATTCTCTCTCAGAATCAAGATGTCTGCTCAAGAAACCGGGGAAGAGTATTTTGGAATTTGTAAACAGCTTGATGATTTGGCCATCTGTATACTTAAAACCTTGCATGAGATAATATCAGAACGTCAATACTTAGATGATAATTTAAGGGAGGGCTATATATGTATGGCTAAATCACGTTATTTAATGAGAGGTCAGAAAATAGATATACTCCAAGTAGATACATCAAACTTACATGCTACAAAGAAAATCTTTTGTGAACATGATACTATTGAAAAAGTAGAATTTTTAAATTTCAAGATTTTAGAAACTGATCAAGTCATATTAGATGCCAATTGTATGAAATATCGGTCTTCCCAAATGTTGGAAAACAAACTTGGTCAAGATTTTGAACATTTGTCCATTAAAAGAGGAAACAGTAATAATTTGACTGCAGAAATTTCTGAGAAGGAGAAAGAAACTTCTTCTAACAACAAGGACAAGGATCCATTATACTGGTTTGGTGTTTTAACTCCCGCGAGTTTAAAGAAATGTCAATCCCATTTCCAACAAGCTGTAGCGACTGCAGCAAAAATAGCATCTTTACAAAGCCAGTTAAAGTCTTTTGCTATTAAGTATCGAGAACTGAGGAAAGGAAAAGATAATTTAAAAAAAGTCTGAATGACATTTAATTTTCTATATTGTTTTAATCAGAGAAAAAAGAAATTTAAAAAGATTTCAAATATTGTGCAATTGTTAATAGCTTCATCCTTATATATTTTCTAAGTGTATACTTAGGAAAATTTACTTCTATTTATTATGAAATTGTGACTTCTGAGAAGAGAACTTTCCTATTCTGTTTTCTCTTAATGTTTTAAAGAGCCTTTAAGGAAACTTGTACCTTTTTCGCATTTGAGCAGCTGCTGTATTCAAATTTTTTTTTACAAAATGAGTGAGAATTGAGTGTTGGGAAGTCTTCTCATTTTGTCTTAACAGCTGATATCTTAAAATATTTAAGTAATATAACTTTGTATAGTGATATTTCAATTGTGTCTTTTCATTAATGAGTTTCTTTAAAATACTGATTTTCAGCAAGAGATTTATTTATAGGAATACAAGATGTATGGGCTTCAAACTCTAAATACCTTGAAGTTAAATTTTTTTGCTTAAAATGATGTTTTAAGATGAAAAGATAGTATTTGTAAATCACAGGAAATTAAATAAATATTTTAAAAGTGCGAGCTTTAAAATTGTACAGCCCAAGTGCCTGCAATTTAAATTACCTTAATTGTGATTAGAATACTCAGCTAAGCCTTCCATTAATACTGATGTATTTATAAAATATATTTGTATCTTTCTGATAATTTATTTGGTAAAGTATTCAGTGATACAAGCAAAAGTTTTATTTTGCAGGTAGTACCTGAATCTAAGATAAAGCGGTTTTTCAGGTATGCACTTAATATCAAATTAGTCAAAAAGCAAATGTTTGGCTATCTGTGTGCAAAATGTGAAATTTATTTTAGTCAAATTATTTAAAATAATGTTGCTATTAATGAATATCATCTTAAATGCATTAGAAATCATTGAAAGTGCAGAAATAAATGACATTTTTAGAATATTCTGGATGAGAAGTTTAGAAGGAATATATTTAAATTCCAAGTATATATACCTAATAATTTACATATCACATTATGATAAACCCTATTAATTGTAATCATGCTATAAATTTGAATCTATTAGGGAAAATATTAAAATTTGAGGTACAGTCAAAAGTCGTTAATTCGGATACCCATAATCCAGAATGATCTATAATCCGGACCTCAAAGCTTCAAACTTTCTGCGCATGCGTCTCGTTGACGAATGCGTGTAAGGCCTTTACGGCTGAGAATGTGCTTGTGCGCATGTGCAAAATGCGTTTACGAGTGCACGTTTAATATATAATGGACGGTATAAGCTAAGCTAAAATTATTTAATTATATATTTCAGTTAATGTTGCAGATTGCGTTGTTCCTTAATCTTCGAATTGGATCCGGCTTATTATTTTTTGCAGAATGTTAGAGCAATTGGTTGATCTTTACATTATGGTAACTTGGCGATTTTTTGGAGAAAATTTGGCAACCAACTCTCCTACAGCAACCCTATTTTTTTTTTCCCCGCCGCCATTTTGTCTTCACGAAGTAAAGACATGTTTCTTTTCTTTTTATCTACTGAACACTTCTTCCAACAATCTACTAGCCGAATTACACTTATGCTAGAAATTTTATCAAACAAAACTGCTTAATCATGACAAATATTCACTGCAAAATTGGGAAAAAGTGCACAATACCATACTCCTTACGTGTTTTTCAAAATAACACATACACATAACCATGTACACGCCGACTTATTTTTACTTAAAAAAACATCCCAGAATTGCACAAAAATGGCATTGCGCACACTCTTCACTATATCCATGTACACTGCTTTTTTCTCATAAATTAGAAAAATTTCACGAAAATACATGACAATTTTCTCAATCTTTAAACCCGGTAAAAAGAACATATATGAAATTACCTGATCGCGAAAAAGTATTTACCCTTTCCAAATATGAACATTTCCACATATAAAATAAAAAAAAATATCCAAAAACTTTTACCTCCAAATCATCTATTACATTATACACGTCACCAACGAATTCATACCGCAAGCATTACAAATACTTAGTATCAAATATTTAAATTATTTCCATGCACGTTTTACTTCAACTTAAACGTATACCAAATTCCTACAAACATAAAATTCACAAATAACTATCATTTAATTAAATATCACTAAACCATGTACACGCCGACTTATTTTTACTTAAAAAAACATCCCAGAATTGCACAAAAAATGGCATTGCGCACACTCTTCACTATATCCATGTACACTGCTTTTTTCTCATAAATTAGAAAAATTTCACGAAAATACATGACAATTTTCTCAATCTTTAAACCCGGTAAAAAGAACATATATGAAATTACCTGATCGCGAAAAAGTATTTACCCTTTACAAATATGAACATTTCCACATATAAAATAAATAAAATATCCAAAAACTTTTACCTCTAAATCATCTATTACATTACACACGTCACCAACGAATTCATACCGAAGCATTACAAATACTTAGTATCAAATATTTAAATTATTTCCATGCACGTTTATTTCAACTTAAACGTTACCAAATTCCTACAAACATAAATTCACAAAATAACTATCATTTAATTAAAATATCACTAAACCATGTACACGCCGACTTATTTTTACTTAAAAAAACATCCCAGAATTGCACAAAAATGGCATTGCGCACACTCTTCACTATATCCATGTACACTGCTTTTTTTTCTCATAAATTTGAAAAATTTCACGAAAATACATGACAATTTCTCAATCTTTAAACCCGGTAAAAAGAACATATATGAAATTACCTGATCGCGAAAAAGTATTTACCCTTTACAAATATGAACATTTCCACATATAAAATATCCAAAAACTTTTACCTCTAAATCATCTATTACATTATACACGTCACCAACGAATTCATACCGCAAGCATTACAAATACTTAGTATCAAATATTTAAATTATTTCCATGCACGTTTATTTCAACTTAAACGTATACCAAATTCCTACAAACATAAAATTCACAAAATAAACTATCATTTCATTAAAATATAATTAAATTCAAAACACTACTTAAAATATAAATGAGCACATACATTAAATTAATAAAAATTACCTTACAATCCTAATTACTTTAAACTAAATCATTGCTAATAACAATTTTCCCAATAATACCAAATTCCTTTCCACCTTACATTTAGAACAATGCATAAAAATAATATCCTCAAATAATTAAAAATACTAACTTACCTAATCTTCTTCAGAATCTTGATTACGTGGCGGATACACTTTTCTAATTCATTCAATAAAATTATTGAAAGATTTTTTTTCTGCGAATTTTTTCCTCCATACGTTTTTCCTCCGCTAAATAAAAAGCAAACTTTCTCTTTATCACAATGCCTAAATACCCATTTCGAATTCACTTTAGTTAGGGCCATGGGATCCAAAAATTCACAAACACTGTTTCACACAACACAGAATAAAGCTAAATAGAAAATTTCCACATTTTTTCCCAATTTCCCCCCTTTTCCGATTAAAGAACCGTAATTCGTCCATTAATATCACATGACATATCCCATGATCTCTCATTTCCCTCACGCAAAATAATGCGTAATCGGAACTGAGTACTGCTCACATTATTACCAAAGTCCCATGTAGTAACCTTTATCGCCTCCAAAATGTCGCCAAACTACCAGTTACCATATTGTAAAGATCAACCGAGCAATTTTATAAAAGTAAGCTTGAACTTTCGATTATGTCAAATAGAATTTCTGATATATATTTATTAATTTGTAAATGATCTACAAAGCGAAAGTATGTTCCGAAGTTCATTAAACAAAAAGTGGAATTGCTACAAAAAATGGATAAAGGCATATCCTTTGTTTATCTTTAACGCCACGGCACCACGCAATGAATTGGAAGTTGATCTGTCAGCACTATCTTCAGGGCAGATGTTTTTATTTTACTTGGCTTATAATTCCGTATTAAATGTAGTATTTCATCTCGATGTACTCCATCTTTGATATGATTTAAATCAAATTCCTCATCATTATAATTCGCTTCCGATAGTAACAGAGGTTATTGAAAACGAAAAAATTTCGATTGACAAATTAGTAGGTATTCTCGACACAGCAACAATTACAGGACTTGAACAGTGGAACTTTGTAATGAACAAGAAATTATGTCTGTTTATAGAATTAAAGAGAAAGTATTAGCACATCACACACACACATAAACGAAGCAACTTAAACAACTTACATTGAAAGAAATGTTTAATAAAGTAAACAAATAAATATTAAGCTTTTTTTTTTGTAAATTTTGATACCCTTTAGATCATAATTGTTCTTTATTTCATAAATTACGGTTTCATATTTTTAATTTTATAATTTCTGCATGCCATCTTACCAGATTTAAACTGATGATCTATATTCCAGAAAAATCGATAATCTGGAAACAAAGTCCCGACTAGTCCGGATTAACGACATTTGACTGTATATGTAACTCATAATTATATATCACATTATGAAAAATCTATTAATTTCAATAGTACTGTTTTGTTATTGGGACCAGAGTCATCGCCAGTTGTTCTTGATTTACATGAAGTCGCCAGTGTTTATTTTTAAAATTGTTACAATGTTTACATTTTTAAAAAGTCGCAGTTCTCTGTTTACATTTCAAAATTGGCAATGAGAATACAAATTCTAAAGATTTAACTATCATTTTTGTTTGTATTATTCTTGTATTACCATGGGTTTGAAAATTTGGGACTTGCTTAATGATGAAACACCTTCAATACAATTTCTTCAGGAAGAAGAATCATTCAGTCTGGAAAAAAGTTCATGAAAAACCATAACTTTAGACTATTGCAGATAATGTAATTGATATCTCTAAATCTTTTTTGTTATATGTTTTAATGGTTTAATAATTTAAAAATTGCTTAAAATAACACTGAAATTCTTAAACAACACATTAATAGCACATAGGTATATTATCTATACTTTTAAAAGCTACTCAATGTTGTGAAACTCTAAGCTTTTCTGAACATCAGTAATTATTGCAATATAAAATCTGGACATTCAATATCTGAACCTCTGAATCACCAGCCAAATAAAAGAAAAATAAAGTAAATAATTACTGTAATTCAGAAGTCAAACAACAAAAATCAGCATTATATTTTCAAAATTTTCACAGAACTAGTTTTGATGGTTTTACCGAACCACCATTCTCATCTGTAAAACTGGGGGGGGGGGGAATCCGCGGTTTTGCAGCTGAGGATGGTGGTTCGCGAAACTAGTCTTGTGAAAATTTTGAATATATAACACTGATTTTTAATGTTTGACTTCTGAATTAATATTTGTTTGGCGTGTTATTGTGTCTTAATTAAATAATTACTCCTTACAAATTC